ACATGCTGCAGAAGACTATCCATCTTGTCAGAAGTTGGAATTTTAAAAGCAATGTGTAGTAATAGAAGAATGATTTGTCCCAAGAAACATTTCCTTTTGATGATCAGATAACAGTAGAATAATAGAGACCCTTCAAAGCATGTATGCAAAGAGACTTATTATTAAGCCCCAGATATAGTCTAAATTCAAAAGGCAAGATGGGGTGCTTTAACTTCCCCTGTTTGTACTGTGGTTTGTGTATCACAAGATGAGAGCTGTAGCTCAGAGGACAGACGTGCTCCCGTCAAGTGATGGGTGTTTGTGAGCAGGAACTTCCTGGGAGATATTGACCGGGTCACGGGCAGCTGCTCGGAAATTTGTTAAGTAATCTATCTGATATGTCCAAGGAGTAGCACATCTGAATCAATCCATCCAAATGCCTCAGGAATATCAATAAAGAGATAATAAATCTGATAATTCTCTGTGATTTGCTCTGGTGTGAAGCTACCGGGGAAGCCTTGTACAGTTTGAAGATTAATTCTAGGACACATTTGTTAGGGTGACAAATGCTCTATGCCAGAACTGTGGCTGGTGAAAAATTAATTTCAAATTAATTCCAGACTTTATTTTCCACAATAATCTGCTGTCATAAAAGTGAGTGGCAACAAATGCCAATTGCTGAGGATGTTTTCAAAAGGGAACTGGACTCCAGGTTTACAGAATGAGTTTTCCAGCATGTTTTTTCTTTTGTGGATCTCCCACTTAATTTCTGTTCAGCAAAAAAACATTTATTTCTTTGCTGTTGTTCTAAATTTTAAACCACAGTAAAGATAACAATAAACCATTAAGTATAACATAGTAAATACAAAGCCTAAAGAGATAACATATATATTTAGATAGTTAATACCCTATCCCAATTAGGTACATTAGTTCTAAGTCCTTTGTGAGAAGGAAAAAAAAAAAAAAAGTCCCTTCAGGCACTGTCCTGAAGTCAATATTTTTTTTTGTTTCCTTTGACTGTCATAGGTATAAAATCAAGTATATAATCTAGAAATTATGTTACATATATTATAGACTAATTATATTAATCTATAATTTATTTACTATTTTTTCCATTTGTCAGACACCTTCAGCAAAGAATCCCAGCACTTCTTTTTCTGACTTAATGATGTGAAAGAAGTGACATTTCTCAGGGCAAACTGGCACTCTTAGAATTTTTTTAATGTTTGAAAAATTCAGAATTCTGTTTGTGATCTTCATTCTAAAAATTATCAAAATTACCTGCATCCTTTCAAATTAACTCCAGATTCTTTGAAGATCAAGACTAGTACTTTAGCTATCTATGTCTTTGTCAGTGAAAGAAATTTGTATTTGTTTTACAAATAAAGAAGAGAAAGTAGGCGTTGAATGTTCAGTTTACAAAAATAAAAGGTGAGCAACTATTAATTCGAACAAAATGCTATTTTCACTATTTGAGTCTGCTAAATTTGGCATTTGGACTGTAGAATTTTTAAAACTCTATAGTTTTTTTTCTATATTCCTAAATCTTTTGCTGGACAAAAGTCTGACTGTGCCTTAAACAGAATACTCTGTCCCCTTTGTTCATACCACCATCCTATCATAGTATCTGCCTTTTGTAAATCTAGATAAGAAAAAGTTTATGTTGAAAGCAACAACATAAAAGTAGATGATGGAATGCAAGCATCCCCCTCACCTCTGTCAGTGAAGTCTTGTTCCTCAGAAACACAGGCTCTGCTGGTGCCACTTCCTAGGCTCTTTTACACTGACTTTTGGAAAAGAGCAAGAGTCCTACAATGCCTGTCCAGCCAGTGCTGGCTGTTCAGTACTGCACCAAATGTATTTTTTCAGAATATCCATTTTCCCCCATTTTATGTGCAATTTTTTAGGCAGACATGATCTTCCTTTTCTACACATGTTGGCAAAAGCACAGCCTCTGTCCCTCAGGTGCAGATGAGAAGATGAAGCCCAGAGAACCTGGTGTTGAGGACTCACCCCTCCAAGAGAACAACTCATATGGGACGGGGTCAAAAGATGGTTTGAAGTCAGACTTGTGGTTGGGAGCAGAACTTTACTGCATCTTTCTTTTAGTAAATGGTTCAAACCATAGAATTCTTAGGCAAAGCATAGAAGATTTTACTTAAATTTTATTTTAGTGTGGAAGGCAGCAGGCCATGGATATTTCATGGCAGTTTGTTCCAATTACACTTGCCTTCAATAAGAGGTTCTCCTCATTCCCTGTCCAAGGGAATGAAGAAGAACTGTAATAGCATTTAGCATTCAATGTCTCAGTATCATAAAATTTTGTTTTGGTGTTTTTTCTCCTTCCATGAGCTCAGTTGTCTCTCAGAGAATTTGGTTTTGTTTTGCTTTAGGAACAAAAATTTTTATTCCCCTTGTAGCTCTTCTTCTGACTTCCCACAAGATATTGATTTCAGAGAGGTATTTTGCAGCCCCTTATGAAAGACTTGCACTTTATAATTTTGAACATTATACCTTCTTATTCTATGGACTTTGATCCATCTTCACAATTTATATATTAAAAGCTAAGTTTGCTCAGCTATGAAGAAGAGAATGCTGGTGGTGGACCTCATTTCAGCATATTCAAAGTGGATTTGACCAAAGTTACTTGACACAGATGAATTTGTATCAAGTATTCTTCATAACTGCTTTTCCCTCAAAAGATCAGATTTGTTTTAGGGCAAAAGTACATGTTTCAGGTTATTCTATGCTTTTTACTAAGAATGACTTTCACTGTGAATGTGAATAGGGACATCAGGTTGTGCAAACTGTTAATGAAGGAGAATGTCCTACTGTGCTACGAGTTTTATGTTGAATGGCTACCACTTGAGGGACTGAAATTTCCATTTAGTTCTTAAGCCACATGGCAAAAACAACACCAGTGCCTGATGGCATTAAAATATATATTTCAAAGGCTAGAAATGTTATGCAAAAAGTAGTTGAAACCCAAGAATTTTACTTGTGCATGGGTTCGTGTGTGGAGATATCTGTGTATGCTACTAAAGAAAACTAGTTAGAAGCACCTCAGGCTTGTTTTCGTGTCTGGATCTCATCTTCAGCATGTCCGTGTGTGATGGTTTGAACCATGGGTCTTTTGTGGTTTAGTCTTGCATCCATGTAACAAGATACCCAGACATGACAAACACGCTGGGACCGGTGTTATTAAATATCTTCATTAATGAAAAAGACGAAGGGATTGAGTGCACCCTTGGCAGGTTTTGCAGATGGCACCAATCTGAGGGCTGTGGGTGACACCTGAAGGATGGGATGTCATCCTGACCTAATTGTGGTTTTCCAGTACCTGAAGGGAGATCACAGGAAAGATGGAGAGAGACTGTTTAGAAGGGTCTGGAGTGACAGGACAAGAGGGAATGCATTCAAACTGACAGAGACATTTTTAATCAGAGGTTAGGAAGAAATTCTTTACTGTGGGGGTGGTGAGGCACTGGCACAGGTTTCCCAGAGAAGCTGTGGTTGCCCCATCCCTGGAAGCGTTCAAGGCCAGGTTGGATGGAGCTCTGAGCAACCCAGTCTGGGGCAAGGTGTCCTTGCCTGTGACAGGGGGTTGGAACGAAATGATCTTTACGGTCCCTTTCCAACCCATGCCATTCTATGATTTTATGATAATTTAACGTTTGAGATTCATGAAATGGATTTATATTATATTAGGTTAATTTGCTTTGTATTTATGTATACCTAAAATATGTATTACTTTCAACTGAAAAAGAAATTTATCTTGTGGAAATAGTTATTTAATCTCAGATACATCAGTTATAAGGAAAAATATTTCTATTCTGTCAGTAGGCACCTAGTTCACAAACTTAGAACAGATTATTGAAAAATATTTATTTTCTGTCTTCAATCATGGAAAGAACTTCAAACTCAAAAAGATACTTTGGTGCAAGATATTTTCACCTTGTCTTAAAATGATATAATTTAACCGTGGTCTGCATACCTTTAATTAAAACAGGGTGCTAATGGGGTTCTGACACTCCAGACAAAGTGGGTAAGAGAGATATAAAGTAATTTGTAGTTAATATAATAAAGTATTACATTGGTCTCTTGGAAACTTGATTGTCACACTACTGAAGTTATGCATGTTTACAAACTATCTTGAATTTTGTTCAAAACCTTTTGAAAAGAGAATACCTGAAGATAATGTTGATACATCTTCTATATTTTTTTAATTTGGCTTTGTCTTTCTTGTGGCCTCAGCTTGCACTAAAATAATCAGCTTCTCCCTATCCAGTTTCCCTTTCTCTGTGTGTTCATATTGATTGTATATAAGTCTGTGTGGATTTAGGAGCAGTTTTGACTTCAGTTAATGCATTACCAGAAAAAATAATGAAATTCTAGTTATATGACCATCTATTTGATCAACATAGATCTCTTTACTTCAATTTTGTCTAATTCTACAGTGCTTATCTTCACACTTCTACAATTAAGTGGTGGTGTCACCATCCCTTGAGGTCTTCAAGATGCTACTGGATGTGGCACTCAGTGCCATGGTCTAGTTTAAAAAGTGGTGATTAATTTTCCATCATAAATGGTTGTGTGGGATATTTTGAAACTGTTATCATGGTAGTCAACATTCTATAAATACTGGATACTTGGCAAATACATAAGAGCTTATAAATTTTTACCTGTCTTCACTTCTAAGCTATTATAAACTCTCTACTTCTAAATGGTGAAAATCAGTTTTTCAAAGAAAAGCATTTTATTATATTTTTAAATAAAATCCATAAAAACATGGCTTGAACTCTAGAAGTCAAGTTGAATTTGCCAGTTTGAGAAGGGGGGAAGGTTTTTTGTTTGTTCCTCCATTTGTTTTTGTTGTTGTTTTTTTAATTCTTTTTTCTTCTTTGTGAAATATTGAACTTAACAAGTGTGATTTGAACTAAAATAATATTGGAATTATACAGCTCAGTGTTTTTACAGAGTCTTTATTTCTGAAAGAACTGTGATTTGGTTTTATTTTACAGGACTGGAAAGAAACGTTTTCCATAGATGTCAGCTTCTGTCTGCTGTGATGCTCCAGTCTGAGTGATGCCACGTTCAGCACTGAGTAGTACTGGCAAAGGAGAGCAGCTTCTCACAATGAGGTAGGTTTCATTCTCTTCCACAGGGCCTGATGAAGTTCTTCAGTCACTTTTCTGTTTAATATGAGTGAAGTCAGACAGGTATTCCAAGTCTGACTTCACCTTGACTTGTCATTGGTTTTGGTGGCTTTCCCTGTGTTGGCATTTAGCCAAGAGAGTAGTTAATGAGTCCAGGTGTTGTAGTGGGCTACAGTGTTCCATGAGCTTTCCTTCGTGTCACAGATTTGTTCCAGAGCATTCTTGGGCTGTTGTGACTGTTACCTGTGACTACAGGTGCACTCTGTAGTCCCTGTGCATGTCATTAGAAAGAGCATATCTTAGTTAACCTTCCTCAGGCAAAGTTACTTCCTAACAGAATGGTTTCAGGAGAGTGATTTGAGGAAGGTTTGCATGTCGTTCTTCTTCTTATTATTATTATTATTGTTAGACATAATCTGTGCTCAAAGGGCAGTACAATGAATAGGTATTGCCTAAAGGTCTTGGTTCGCTTTTACTATTTTCTCACTGGTGGTAAAAGACATATTGAGGTGAGAGTTTGTTACTTAAACATGGGACTGGTAAATATGACACAAAACATGCAATAGACCCACAGCCATCTGGAATGGCAGCTGAGCCCTTGGCAGGATTCTGTAGGGTATGCAAAATGCATGAGTTGCCTCTGCTTAGCAGTCCTATCCTATATGTTAGATTTCTCTTTCAGGAAACTGTAAAAACTGGTTCACTTTAGATTGTGATAGACTGTAATCCCAGATTCAGAGGTGATGTTGGAAATGAGGGGCACCAGGAGACCTGCAGGGAAAGAAGGGTTGAAACAAAGCAAGTAAAACTAGGAAGGTGTTGGACAGTAAGGGGGGGGTTAATTTATCTTATTTTCCATTGGTTGCCTTTCCTACTTATACTTTTCATGAGCTAGCGAGTGACATCTTTCCTGAGTTATTCTGTTGTGCATTATTTCACAAAAAGAAATGTATTAATTGCTCTGTGCTGTACTGCATCCCCTCATTGTGTACCAAGTGTAAGGGAGAATATTACAGTCGGTATCTGACATGTGGAACTAATTTGCCTCTGTTGGAGTTCAGGGAGAGGTCTTGGCTATAACAGTGGATGAAAACACCAGGAATTATAGGCACCTCACCTCATGATGCTTCATTTGTAGTTTACACTTGTGATGATATACTATGGATAAAATATGGGGACCATATCTTGGCCCCATTGGAATCAGTAGGAGTTTTTCTCTTAATTTCAACTAGGCCATGACCCTGGGAATCTCTACTGGCTCCTGGTGAAGGATTTGTTCTATTGCTGCCCCTAACTAGACCTCCTTTGAGGACTAAGTTTTTAATATTGCTACCAAATCTGCTTCTTAGGTAATAATTCTCTCTTATTGAAGTTTATTTTTTCTTGATTTAGGATATCCTATGCTTGAAGGAAACATGTTTCTATACCTATATTTTTCTGTCCTTAAATATGACCATATCATTATGGATAATTGTAGACTGAATCTCAGGAAATAGTATCTGATGAAAAGATAAAGGACTTCAGAAAAATTTATCAAGGGATAGGGTGGCAATCCTACAGGTGAGGTATTATTATGCAAGAACTGCAGGAAACAAGGCTTAACTCTGAGAGGAAGACTAGATAATGTAATAGCTCTTTAATATCTTCAGTTTCTATGACTGCAAATTCTTTCATGAGCTTATGGTGGATTTTCCCCTTACTAACAGTTTGGATTTGATAAGTTTAGCTTTGTCTGTGGATGAAAAGATATACTTCAGTATTCTTGCTATAGTAATAGGTTCTTTCACACTCTCACATCTGAAGCATGTGCTGCCCATAGGTAATTCATAACTTAGAAATCCTTTGACTAAAGGGCACCAGAATTCTTATTTTCTACACAATATTTTTTTTTCTATCAGCTGATGAGTGGAGCTCTTTGCTCTAATATATTCCACTTATTGTATAGCGCAGCCATCAGAGTACACTAAAATTGTTGTCTGACATATGAGGATAAAGCTTTGATTGCCAAAAACTTGAATGCTACACTAAAGCTACTTCTGACTCTGAGATATTTTTTAATGCAATTATTAATTGTTTCTGAAAAAGGGACAGATGTGAAATGCTGAGTGTGCTCTTGTCTGTTATTTGATTTATCTGTTTCAATATCTCAGGTTCATCAGCTCCTATTGGAAGTATCATTCTATTGGTGTATCTTGTTTTAGGAATTTTACAATATTTTTCATTAGAAATCTCTCCCAGTTTGGGCTGGGTTTTAAGAAGTACACGGTTTATGCAGTACATCTGTCCACATGCATCTGTATGCTCTGTTGGGAGCTTGAAGCTGAGTGGTAGAGATATCAAAAAGGTTCTCTTCTGCATGCTCTGGCCCAAGTGTCCGTATGAATGTTCTGTTATGTTTTGTTACACAAAGCTGGGAGGGAAGGCCGTGAAGGTGTTGAGCCATTTTTTGCCTAGTCCTATGGTGCTAATTTACCAGTTTCTGCTCCCTGCATTTTGCATCATTCCTTTAAAACTGTGTACAAACCATATTTTCCATCTTGAATTCCTTTGCCTTTGCTCTCATAGATAAGTATCATGGCTCTGGCCAGTGTCTAAGATGGTTAACATTGCAGAGGGGATGGGGGTAAAATATTATCACCAGGGAAGAATCATGATGTCTGTCCACTATGGGTGTTGCTTCTTTTAGTTCCCTGTGCTCTTCTTGGTGTCCTTGTTTTGTCACCTCCTGTAGAGATCTGTGAGAGATGTTTAGGGCAGTCATGCTGACTACATGTATATTATCTAACTAATGAACCAAAATACTGAGTCTTGCTTGTTCCTGTTATTTTGGATCAACTCATGGAATCAATATTAATATTTTGCTTTGTTAATTAACTTGCCAAAGCAAACCACTTATTCACCTGAAAGAGTACCCAGAAAACAAGACCCTAGTGTTCTTCTCCTCACAGTTGTTACAGATACTTTAGTATTTGAAGTATCCTGTAGGTATAGTCCTACACTAATTTGTAAAAAATCGTAGTATAAGTAAATCCATTTTTTAATACAAGATTTTGTAGTGATAAGAATGCTTGATGGAAGGAAAATGATTTACTGCAATTTGTAACTTGGAGAACACAATCCATTTGACTCCTTTTTCTGTATAATACAAAGAGTTCATCTGTTGCACAATGTTCATTTTTAATTAAACATTTTATCATAGCACTGCCTTTTATTGACATTCTTCATAATAGAGCTGATACGATCTTGACCTACTCTTCAATACAGCAATGTATAACTCAATACTCTGGCACACACTGTTCCCTTTGGAATTAAACCCACGCTTTTCTGATTTAATTTTAAAATTGTATGTACTTTTGGTCCCATTTATTTACTTTAACTATTTATACCCCTTTTGACTTATACATTTTGGATGCAATCATTTCTTGGGCTATCCTGTATGCTCAAGCTTTTACCTAGCTGGACCACTTTTTAAAATCTTTTTTTCCTTTTTTAATATCTTTTTTAAGTTTTGCAATAAGAGGTAATTTATCACCTAATCTTGTTTCCTACTGTACCTTTTATGTACAATTTTGATTAGGTGTGCTAATTCACTCACTGTTGCCTTAAGCACAGGTTCATAGAATTTCTGCTACCACAGAAATTCCTTTAGATACTTCATGACAGGAGATTCCTGAAGATGTCCCCAAAGATGAACAACGAAGCTGATCCCTGTCAGTAACCTTAACAAACCCTGTGATATAAAGCTTCCCAGGACCATGTGTTTAGCCATACTGATAAGCACCCTGTAGCTTGGCAGGATTTTGTCACCTCCAGAGGACCTGCACCGGGGAGTGGGAACCAATCCCTTCAGCTGGTAGTGGCTGCTGTGGTGCTGCTGACACAGAAGAGATCTGGAGACAAGCTGAACACAGAGCAACATCCAGAGGGAATAAGCCTAAAGTACATTTCCAGGGCTTGCTGTTTCCTGCACAGGGTTTTAGTGTTCCTCTAGATGGGAAAAACAGAATTCTTTAATATTTTGCTGCAGCAAATCACCCCTTCTGAGTTGAGCACCCACCGTAATCACCTAAATTTCTGAGGACCGTCAAGTGTTGCAAGACCCCATTTCTCAGTAATCTCCACACCTCTTGCTATATCAGCTGTGTCAGATGATAATGACTCAGCTACCCCATGCTTCTCTTTCATACTTTGCAGTCAGTTTTGCTGCTCATCCTTCTCATGCTGCAGGCATGTTCACTATAAATGTTTCACTGTTCACTATAAATGTGTATTGATTTGGGCTGATAAATTTGAGGTAGTTTAATACCCATTTGAAATTATTTCATGTAATAAATTGCAGAAAATGCAGAACTGCCTTGCACTTGAGAAGAGCTTTAAAGAAGGGGGACTATTCAACTGCTGAGGATGTTTTCTTACATTATGGCAGACTTTTTAATCTTGCTTGGTCAGCAAAGAAATTAAAAATCACACAGGGCCTATGACAGTATGAATTTACCATGTGCCAAATGTGTATCTTTCAAAGTTAAAACTTCCAACCTCTTTGGTCTTCAAAAAGCTCCACATCTTCATGGATAAATAGGTATGTAATTAATTTAAATAAGTACTTACTAGATCTCTGAACTAAACTTAGATTTCTTTTTTTGGCATATTCTTTCTCCAAATCTACAAGAAAACATACTGCCATGTTATTGGAAACATGGAGTGCATGACTTGAAAGAGAGAGTGCATTGAGCTTTTTCAATTGTTCTAAAAGGGAACAGTTTATGAAAAAGGAGCAAGTTCATGGCCTTCTACACCCACCTGAGTTGGAGAATTGTGAAAACACAACCAAGGTGTCCCTGGGGTACCTAGGACCTTGTCAGCACAGGTGACACAAGCCACAGGTGCCTCTCTGTCTTGGTTGCCTCTGTCATCCAGGCTGGATTGATGAAGGCAAATCAGGGAAATGCCAGCAGAGCCCCAGGACACTGTTGGCAGTGCAAACA